AGTGTAAGAGTGGTCGAGTCTTACAATGTTATGATTTGATTATGCAATGAGTTTTCACATATTATCTATTATAATTTGGTCTACTTCATGGGGAAATAGATATGCTCTCCAATAATCATGACTTGAATTTTTTTTTTCTTTCCAATTTCTTCTATCTTTGTCTTATTATAAATAGAGATTATTGCTCTATAAAATTGATACGACGTAAAAAAATTATCTTAAACTAGTGCGAATCTCAATGCAAAATTGATACGTCATCAAAAAATCACCTTGATCGGGCGCTAATCTCGACGCAATAGCACGTCAGAAACTTCAAAAATTAATTCGGAGACCATCTCAACTTGGATTTCAACAAACTTATAGCCGAACGGAGAGTCTCGGAAATACGAATCCAACGACACCAAATTCGACTCAATCCGACCCCAAATGAGTCGAAATCAAGGACCCGAAGCGCTGTTGGAAGGTTCAAACCACAATTTGAGTTATCAAACGGTCTTCTATTTTAACGAGCTTATACTCGAATCGAACGACTCGACAAGACAAATCCAACGAGCCCAAGATCACTGAATTCCAAAATCACTAAGGCCTCCAAATGCATGACGAACGGTCCATGGTCATGGGGTTCAATATCGGCCGTCCATCTAACCACTCCCCATTTACCCTTGATCTCTCACCTATTTACGGGCCATGCCACTCCATAAAATCTATAAATAGACCCCTCATTTCTCTTGAAAGGGGGTCGAAGCAAGAAAGAGAAGAAGAGAAGAGAAGGAAGAAGCTCCTCCTCGACAGTCGCCGGACCACCGCAGGAGCACCGCCGAACCACCGCAGGAACCTCGCAAGACCACCACTGAAACCTCACCGGATCACCGCCGGAGTTTCATTGCACCACCGCCTTAAGGCCCGACGTTCAGACCCGACGTCCTGCTAAAGGCTCGACGTTCAGACCCGACGTCCTGTTAAAGACCCGACGTCCTGCTAAAGGCCCGACGCTTAGACCCGACGTCCTGTTGAAGACCCGACGTCCTGCTTAAGGCCCGACGTTCAGACCCGACGTCTTGTTGAAGATCTGACGTCCTGCTTAAGGCCTAACGTTCAGACCTGACGTCTTGCTAAAGACCCGACGTCCTGCAAAAGGCCCGACGTTCAGACCCGACGTCCTGTTGAAGACCCGACGTCCTGCTTAAGGCCCCATGTTCAGACCCGACGTCCTGTTGAAGACCCGATGTCCTGCTTAAGGCCCGACGTTCAGACCCGACGTTCTGCTGAAGGCCCGACGTTCTGCTCAAGGCCAGATTATCAACACCCGAACTTCCAAGTGACACCGGATCTAACACCTGACTTCTATCGAACAGTTACTAGTTATAATCTGATCGCCCTTGGAGGTGATTCAATCCTTTGTAACAAACTCAAATTTTAGTGGAACAATTTTCAACTGGGCTAGGCCCCGTGGTTTTTTCCCTTTTTTAAGGGTTTTCCACGTAAAAAATATTGTGTTCTCTGTGTGTGAGCTAGTTATTCGTACAACGTTAAGACACAAAACTAAATCTCTATTGCCGCGTATTTTCTAGCCCGCAACAAAAATATTGATTAAATGATTCATCCAATACAATGATGCTTGATTCATAGGTGTTTGGATAGTGTTATATTTGTTCACTTATCAAGTAATATGAAGTATTTATGGCTTAAAAAATATATAATAACATAAAATTGAGCTTATTCCCAAAAAAAATTATTAGTGCTGGCACAAATTTAAAACTTTTAATATATTCCTAATTTTTTTTCACATGATTGTTTTTATCATTTTATTTAATAATTAATAATAAAATAATATTTAAACTATCAAGAATGTAAGTTATTATTTATAAATTTATGACATATATTCAACATTTTACACTAAATTTTATCATATATTTTTGTAGTATTTAATAATAAATTAATCTTAAAACAATGGGCATTGAAGTTTTTAATGACTTAGAGTCTAATAACAAGTCCACAAATATTAAGAAGTTATTTCTCATTGGAGATAATCATTTCTAAAAGAAAATTTTCAGGTATATTTCTTCTTAAAAATAATGAAAAAAATTTGAAAAAAAAATGAAACTAAATTTAGAAAACAATAAAATTGTCAAAACTATCAAACTCAAAATTTTCATGAGACCCAAATGGGAAATGAGTACTAAAGTCATTATTTATATATATTCTAGCATCTCATAATGACGTGGTTATTTTGCTAACAAGATTCAAAAATTTAACTGATACATACGATCTTCTAAAGCTTGGAGGGCCGCACGTGCCCTCAGCGCCCCCATGCTAGCCCTGCCACTGAGCCTATTCATGTATTCAATGAACTTATTTTTTTCCTTATTAACTAGCCATGTTAAGATCATATTCAACTGTTAAAATTATTCCACACTTCCATTGCACACTCTTATCTCCTTATCTTTAGTTTTATCAACAAATAATGTCATTCAAGATTTGAAGGAAGATAATTACTCCTCATCAATAGCATATTAATCAATCAAACCTAGTTTAGCAACATAAACCAAGATTTTACATATCATTTCTTTTAGTGCACCCATAAATACTTTATCCATGTTTGGATTCTTGAAGGCTCATCACAATCCAAGCAATTATGTAGTAACTTAGTAGTATTGATGTTCTTTTCGAATATCTCTTTAGATTGGAATTTAAAAACTCCAATTCAATGATTAAAACTATTCAACAACTCCAAAATATTATATTTTTTTCCTCCAATATTGAACATAAAAGAGTATCTGCCATACTCCATGACCTATATTAGAAGGATTACATCTGTGTTTCATTTTAATCATTTAACTAGAGTTTGCCAAATAACAACGGAAAGAAATATGATTACATTTTTGTCTTATCCAGAGCTTTATATTATAAGATCATTACCCTTTTTTGAAAATATGTAAAATCATATAATTAACATATAGCCCAACAAGTAACTAAAATCTTACATTTGAAATCAAAGCAAGATAAAAGAGAACAATATGCTATAAATCATATTAAGAAATATATGTATCAATGTATATACTGATTATCTATATCAATTTATCCTTATATAGTTTATCATATCTCATTCAATTACATTATCAGTCACAATATATCAGTAACAATCAACAGTACTAATGTTAGTGATAGTATTAGTAT